TTGAGTAACGTAACGGAATACGTTACAGAATACATTTTGGGGCATGTATTCTGTAATCTGTAATGGAATACATTTTAAAAGTAACCTTCCCAACACTGCACATTTCAAAGCATCACGGAGGTGTTTTTCTGTCTTTTAATAGCGCAGAGATGGAGAAGGGGAATCCTGGTGGTCAGCAGAAGACTATTCCTGCAAGGGACCTCTTAGATTACAGCACAAGACCCCCTCAAGTGACTGCTGACATCCAAACATCAGGTGATATCACCTTAAACCACCCTGCTTGAGCTTCTTACGAGACTGTAAAAGATCGTTTATGGGGACTTGAGCAATAAAGCTGTTCAAGCTGGAACCTTGACTGGTAATCAGCTGTGTACAGCTGGAGGCAACACTTCAGACATTAATGAGAATATGATTGATCACATGGGGAGTAATTGAAATTGATTTCTCATTGGAAAGTTAGGACTTAATCCTTGAGGTCTCCAGGAGTTATGAGGGTTATGAGATAGTGGTGAGATTCTGCATTATCATGCACGCCGTAGGCATGCCAACAGAGGTCAGCAGAGCAGACTGTGATCAATACTAGCAGAGACAGACCTGGCGGAGAGTGCTGAGGTATTTGTCGACATCTTTGACGTGTACCTCCAGGATACAGTTGAGTTGATGGATAACGTGCCAGGTATGGACAGAGAAGTTGTTGTGCAATTTGATGTTGCATGCCAGAATTTGAAGATTTCAGCAATAAACACTCAGAGGCAGATATGTGCACACACACACAACATCTGGCTCATCTGGCTCAGGCCCTGACAGGAAGTGGATTAGAGGAATGGTTGGTTTGATGAGGACAAGCCAACAGAGAATATCTATAATCTGCAAGACTACAAATCCAACAGAGATCATGGCAGCAGCCACAAGTTACATCTGATTGAGGCAACCAGCTGTTGTGGGGACCCAGCGTATTCCGGCTAAAGACACAGCATAATGAGTGCATAGGAAAGACAGGACTCAAACGCAGCAAGTATCTCTTTGCACCAATTAGCTCTTGATTCATGACATCAAACAAAGGTGCATTGTGACCATATGTTACCTGTGTGCAAACTGCAATAGCAGGGGACAACGTTAAATGCCCTCCTGGATTGTTTGAGCATCCATTTGCATTTTAGAGTTGCTGTGTTCTCTTGGCACATGATAGGTCCATGACTAAAATAAACCATCTGAAAGCTCTGAGGCTTACAGCCCTTCTGTCGCTCACATATTAGGTGGGCAGAGGCAATTTTTTAAAGATAATTCGAATCCTATTTGTCTAAAGTCTTAAACCTGAATGAAGAAAAATTCTCAACTAACAAAGAGATTGTAAGAGATTGCATCTCTTGCAGTTCAAGGATTATTTATAATAATTAAGGTCTTATTTCTGTCGGTGTCTATTCATCTAAAATTTACACAGGGTTGAGAAATGAGCAGTCAGTCAAACAGCTCCCAAATTATTTGAAGGTAAAACTGAGAGAAACTGCAGTCGAAATGTCAGATATAAAACTGCACCGCACATGAGCACAAAGTCTAATCATAACTGAGGTCAAAGTTAAGCAAAAGAAAGTTTGGTAATTATTTCCCATTAAAGTAAACACTACTTAAGTCGAGGAGCTCCTAACACCCGTTTTTGGATTTCAAAAAGTTCTTTCAAGTCTTTCAGAACAAAAGATGAAGATTCCAACTGACACACATCACGAACTACACACTTTTCTTTCCCCAAAGAAGCTCTTTGTGTTTTTCTCCAAGAACATTGGGTTAGGGTCACTCAGAGTTTCCCATTATTTATTACTTTGACTTCACATGGTCAAACTGAAGGGAAAAAACAACCTGCGCACCCATTTTATATCACGTCCAAAGTAAGACAACTGAAAACAAACAAAAGTTGAAAACCAGCACAAGATTTAGTGACTCAGTCAGTTACATGTTCAGTAGACTGCTGAGGCTGGTGTGTCACAACGTGAAATAGTAAACTCACCAAATGAAAAGTATAACTCGTGATTTGTCCAATAGAGTATTAAGTGTTTAAGAACTCAGTAGGCATAAATGTCACTCTATCACAGGAGCCTCTTTTACGATGTGTTGAAGGTGAGAATGTTAACCTACAATTCTGCTTCAATGGTCTGTAAAAAAGGTATAAAGGCGAAACGGAGAGGTTTTATTGTTGCAGCAGATATAATGGTAACTGTGGGACGATGTGAGCTTATTGCACATGGGAACAGTTTGCCTTTTGTTCACTTTGTTTAACTTTGTAAAAGTGTAAAACTGAATCCAAACAATTTAATAAACGTACCCATGTGGTCTTTGTACTAAAACTAACTTCATAGTAACATAGTAACTCTATATTTTAACCTATATTTGAATATTTTTGATGTGTTTCAGTTAGAAGTATTATTTTTTTGTTCCCTGATTGCCAAGAAGGGAGAACAACTTAATAAAATAAAAATATTACTTATTCTGATTAGTTAAGGTTACGGCATTTACACACTGAGCCTGTAGCAAAACAGCAACACAGAATTCCTAGTTTGGGGGTTGCAAACGTCTCATCCAACATAAATACACACTAAACACGCTGCCTTTTTGCAAAAAATGTGTCCTTAAAAAAACACACTGTGACCAAAAAGCCGTTTGCGTCAAGCAATAATAACCTGGTCTTAATGTTTCTAAACAAGAAAAAGGAAGAAACAACGATTTTAGGTTGATCAAGTTCTCAACAGGAGACAGCAGCAGGGAGAATTTCAGAGTTTGGTCCAGGAGTTGAAGCTGCATTACGACTGCTTTCATACATATTTCATATTTCATCTGAGGAGGCAGAGAAATCATTTCAGAGAGTTGGGAAGAGTCTAGCTACGTGTCTGAGGTAAAATAGTATTATTTTATGATTTCCATGTCATTACAACAAGTGCATTTGTTGCCAAATTTTCAGATTTGCTTTTGTATGTGAAAATTGTAATTAGAAAAAAGGAAAAATCTAGCTTCATCTGAAAAAATAAATTCCTCCAAATCTAATTTATTGTCCTGCATGTCTAAATAATCACTGCTGAAGATCCCGGAGGTTTAGGAAAAGTCAGAAATGTGGAAAAACGTGGAAATGTCATCTGCTGAATGATACAAGGAGAATCCCACTGAACTGGAATACAAAGTGCACAGAGGTATGGACTTTGGAAAGTTCATATGTATGTAAAAGCTCAGTAGCATGAATATGTTGTTAAATAAATGAAGAAGCAGTGGTGTGGCTGAAAGGCTTCATGAAGAGGAGTATTCTGAACACAGTTCAGACAAAGCAGCTATAAAAAGGATTAATGCTTAATGTTGCAGGCTTTGAAGAAGTCATAGTATTAACAAAAAAACAAAAAATGTAATAGAAAAACCTTTTGCAAGCCTGCTCTTTGTTTTTCAGTTAAGATTTCCAAGAGCAATGGTGAAATTTCATGCTCAAGATCCCAGTCGTAATACACTGAAATCATCCTGTGTGAAGATCCAGACAGGACTGACTGCAGGCAATCTTCATCCAACGTGCACAGAATCAGATCCCACAAAGCCGTGTCCTTGTTTTTCTTGCGCTCGCATATTTTTTTGCAAAAATCATTTCCTGCTTCTGTCGCTTCCTCTCGTAAATCACAGCGACACTTCTTTTTCCCTAAAGCATGTTCCTCAAAAAGGCTTCCCTCCCTGCTTCTTATTCATGCCTCAGGTTTAATGTTGTCTGCTCTGTGGTGTTGTTTTTTTAGCCTCAAACCACTGCTCAACTTTCCATCCTCCAACTCAAAATGAATACACTACGGGATGGTGCATTCAACAGTGTATCAGGATAAAAGTTTCATTTTTTTTTTACTTTTAAATAGAGTGAAATAGATGTTCTTGGTAGATGCCGAAGCTTAAATGTGATTGATATTTCCTCAAGCACACAAAAATCAAGCTAGTCTCAAGTGAATAAGGTCTGCTGGAGCTGGAATAGATCTAACATGTATAGCAGGGCTCCAAAGAATAGGAAATCACTTTGAAGGCATGCATTTTCAAATAATATGGCGCACAGTCATGCTAAGTTTCATTTTAATACAATGTACTGCTGTCCCAATTAAAAAGCTCCTTCAATCAAACAGCATGAGCCCCCAGGCATGTGGCTCATTAGCTCTTGGGCTTCTAAAGTTAGCAGTTCTGATTGTTCTTTTCAGTGATTTTGAGTTTAAAGTTACTTATAAGCAAGTACGTTTTTAATTGTTGTTAACTGTGTTACTTTGTAAAAGCTACACTTTTGTATTTTGTTCTTATTACGCACTGAGAGCTGAACAGTGTATTTTTGGACAATTAAAACTTTAAGAGACACCATCAGATTCTGAGACGATGGCAATTTGTATAGCATAACGACTGTATATTTAGGGCATTAAAATTTCATGCCTGCAGTGGTGAATGTTCCCTGGTTTTCTGCTTCTATATTAGC